CAATGTGCTCTCTGTGAAAGCCTGAGAGAATGTTTTCTCTCCATGTGACTCTCCTTTGGCACACTCTACATCATTGATCACTTTCCTCTTTGGCCCCAAAATCTCCTTGATCAGAAAATTTAGGACACAACCAAGTTACATGACGTTACAGTACAAGTTCTCATATGTCCTGAGTCTTAATTGACCTTAGAAGGCTAGAGCCAAAATGTTGGCTTTCCTTGCAGCCCTCCTTTTTCTCTAATTATGGTCTTCAAACTTAGGTTGTTAACCATCCAGAAAACAAGTTTGTTGTTACTATCAAACAACTTAGGCTTTTAAGCTTAACCACACTATCCGTCTGCATATCAAACATCTTAGGCATAATATGGAACACGTATTTTTCATCAAGTACTGATATGTTGAACTTTAAGGCCCTACAGGATATGATAAAAACATTTGAAAATTAGAATATATTTTAAAAATAGGCATAAAGAATTATATAGTTCTCATGTTTGCACATAAGTCCAAAAATCTAGCCACATACAACCTTGAAGCAGGACAGTCCCACAGTATTCCTTTTCCTGCCTCTCGCTTTCTTTCACCACCCCCTTCTTCTTGAACAAGCATCTATTTGAGAAACATCATAGCAGCAACTGGCATGTCATGAAAAGCAGCCCATGTTCAGTTGACCAGAATGACAGGCACTCCAATCATGAAATTACTATTACAATTTAACATCTGGAATGCAGTAGCTTAGTTCACAGGTATCAGTATATATAGTTAGTCAGGGTGACAATCTTTCCCAATAACTGCTAGATTTAAAAATCTTCTGAAGATTCTCAGGATCATTGCCTTGCTCATCTTCTACATATTACTGTATGGCGTGACATTGTGATGTTTCCCAGCTCTTCTCCTTTCCCTCTCTTGGTTAGTTAAGTCCTTGAGATCCTGCTATCCTTTTACTTGTATTATATCTTTCTACTTCTATTTCTACTTTTAAGTTCTTATACTGTGGAGATTATACAATATTTACTCATGTGTGTCTTGTTTATTTCATTTACAAATATATGTTCAAGTGGCATCCACTTCAATATAAAGGCGAGTTTATTATTCTTAGTAGCTGAATAATACTACGTTGTGTAAAAATATCACATCTTTTTCAACCATTACTCAAGTGATGGGCATCTTGGTTGTTTCCTATATTTGGCTATCACAAATTGTGCTGCTATAAACATAGGCACATATATATCACTATGATATGATGTTCTCAGATCCTCTGGGAAAATTCCCATTAGAGGAATAGCTGGTTGAAAGAGGATTTCCAGTTCAAATTTTCTAAGCAATCTCCGCACTGATTTCCATATGGTTGCACCAGTCTACACTCCCACCAGCAGTGGAGAAGGGTTCCTTTTCCCCACAGCCTCTCCAACATTTGTTGTTGGGTGATTTCTTTATGATAGTCATTCTTTCTGGGGTGAGATGATAACTCAATGTGGTTTTAATATGTATTTCACGGATGGCTAGTGATGTGGAACATTTTTTATATACTTATTTGCTTCTTTAATTTCAACCTCTAAGAAGTGTGTGTTCATCTCAGATCCCCATTTCTGCATTGGATCCTGAAATTTTAGGGCCCTAATGTGGTTTATTTGTTTCTAAATTCTAGAGATCAGACGTTTGTCTGAATGCTTATTAGTCAAGATTTCTTTGCAAATTTGTGGGTTGTATTTTCAAATGTTGGTAATTTCTTTTCACATGCAAAACTTCTCAGTTAGAAGAGGTCTCAGTTGTTAATACTTTGAAGTATTACCTGTGTGATTTGATTTTTGTTCATGAACACTTTGCCTACCTCTATGTCTTCAA